AAAAAAAAAAAAAAAAAAAAAAAAACATTAAAGTTCGTAGGTGTAAGGCATATTTTTTATGTATGCTTTTTCTGTACGCGTCAAGAAAACGTACTCGACTAATAAAGGATAAAGAACATTTTCAAGGTCAAATGATTCACGTCTGCATTATCGTTTCATTATTTTCTTTTTCTTTTGCACGAAAATTTTTATTCGATTAAACAGCGTTATGTTCAAAAAATATAAAGAAAAAAAAAAGCGAACGACTCGTAAGGCAAAACCTGCTCAACAATAATGTGTAATTTGAGCAAATCGTGTTTTATTATGCATACTATCGATAAGCATATTTCATGTAAAATTTATCAACGTCGTGTTTACCTTGGCCTTACGCAGCTACGAGCGGCCATCGTCCGCTTTATGGCACTGCATCATTTACAAATTTACATGACCCAATACGAACGAATGAAAAGCTTGTACAAAATTCCATTCTCCCTTTCGTGTGTCGAAAATACGTGGTAATACGTATCTTCTGCTCGCAAACTGAATAACATCGTACACATCTACCTCGGTGCAAGCTTCCTCGGTAATTGAAGAAAATACGGAAGTATGCTTGTCTAATATCTTTTCGATCATACTTCGATGCCTACGTTCGAGCGTTTACCTTTCTTGATCAACAGTTGTTCCACATTCAGTTGCGGTGGCTCTGTTCGAGTGTGCCACACGTACACCTACATACACAAACACAATGGATAATTATTCATTTAAAACATAAAAGGGAACAAGCTACTTGATGAAGCTACCTTGGTGCAGCAATCAGCCAACGGTTCCAGTTCGTTTCTAGTGACAATTTGCGACAGTATCTCGCTCTCTTGATACCCGCCCTGAACTTCGTACGAGAACACAGCGTCCTTGTTCTCCAGTAAAAGTCGCAGATTGATGGCGAAACCTGCCATATCGAGCGGGAACGGGCGATCCGGCTTCCAGACAGCGTTGAAACCGATCACTTTGCTCGTAACGTTATCACACATCGGTTTTTCCACCATCAAGCCACCGACCAGGCCCACAGGCCACACGCCTACCCTCTGTATCTTCTCCATCTATGATAGACAGGATAGATTATACAATGAATTTCGTGTGTAATATGAAAGGAGAGCACTCCCCTAGAGGATGGAACACACATAAATTGGTAAGGCACTTGTCGTCCTTTGGGCGACATTTACCAAATTTTTGGGAGGTGGGGATAGCTCAGTAGAGCATCAGACTCTCAATCTGAGGGTCCAGGGTCCCCTGTTCGGGC